GACAGAGTCTCGGCAACTCAGCCAGGCAGGGCTGCAGAATGGCCCCCAGCTCAAGGTGATCCTGATGCCGGCTTCATGCAGCTCATCAGACACGTCTCTGACAGGGAAGAGCACCCGCTTCTCACAGCTCCTCTGGCCCCTCAACGGCACTGACCCTCCCTCTGCTTCCCTTGGCTGAGAACTCTGGAGAGTTTACAGTTACGGGCCACAGGCAACCGGAGAAGTGGCCCAGAAAAGAGGCCCTCAGCCCTGCACCACTCCTGGCCACGCCCAAAAGGGGGCATCCTAGCTGTTACTCCCCCAAAACAGGATCTGCAGGACACCTGTGGGAGGTCATGAGGACCCTCCTCACCTGTCTCTGACCCTGGCATCTTTGCTGGAAAGGGCAATGTTGTTTCAACCTTGGCGCTCAGAACTACCCTGACATCATCAAAGCCAGAGATAGGATTTTGGCAGAGCCAAGAGTGAGGAAGGTCACGCCAGCCCCACTGCATGTGGAGGACGGGGAAAAGGCCACAGACTTTTGAGTCAGATGGTCCTGAGATCACATTAAGTTTCTGCCGTTAATTAGCTATTTAGCATAGGCAAGTTGTTTCTCTTTCTGAGCCTCAGTTTTCTCACCTGTACATTGGGAGCAGTAATACCTACCTTTTTGGTTCCTGTGAGTTAATATGAGTGAACACCTGTCAAAGGGTCTGCACATAGTATGTGGTCATTCTGGGCCCCCCCAAAAATGCACCAGATGGAAAGCAGAAGTCTGCATGCCAAAGTCACGCTGACACAAACCACCACTACAGAAGAGGAATGAGTGGGGGGAGGGGGCACAGGGCAATCTTCATTATGTCCTTTTTCCGAACCCCCCAGGAGGTTACAGGACTTGCACTGGGGTCCTGAGTCCCCATGCTGTGCCTCCGGCGAGGAGGCAGCCCTGTGGCTTTGGCAGAAAAGACTGGCTTACACATAGCTAGGGGCACAGGGTTCGGATCCCATCTTTACCTCTTGCTGGCTGGGGGGCCCTGGATGGAATATTTATCCTAAGTTTCCTCACTCGAAATGGGCATAATCACAGTGCACACTTCTCAAAGTTGTCATGAGGACATCTGTATGAAGACCCTCAGAGACAGGCCCAATACGCAGTAAATGCCCATCTTTCACTGCAGTTATTATCTTGTCCATGCAACACTCACTTCCTAAAATAATTCCAAGCCCTCTCTCCTGAAAGCTCAAATTCTACCCGTTACACACTGGCACCATGATATGTCCCTGGAACCAGTGTTTCTGAGACTCTCTCATGCACCCCCAGTCTAGCCAGTGCTCAAGAGCAGCAAGAAAAAAATCACAGTGCCCAAGATATGGGGCTTGGCCACCGGAGCCTTGGGAACTAGGTGGTACCAAGGGGGCTCCTGAGGTTAAGGGCACCCATCCCCAGGAGAACCAAGGGCTAACAGACATTTTGGGAAAGAGAGTAGTGAGGAGCAGGGGCAGACACTGTGACCCATAGGGACAGTCATCACAGTACTTCTTGGCTTCAGGTTCCTCATGTGTAGAACAGGCAGCCTCCGTGCCCCACCCCAGGGACCATGCATCATGGAAGACAAGGCCTTATTCTCTGGGAGGAGGGTGATGCTGTCCCTGTGCAGCTCCAGTACTGGGACAGGGGGTGGCAAAAATAGAAAAGCAGAGAAGCAAGCACCTGACCAAGCAGCCATACTTGGTATTTTCCAGATTTCAGCATCTTTTATTTTTAGAGGTATGTGTTCCAATTTGGTGGAGGGATCTTCAGGTTCCACGTACCGTGCTTAATTTAGGACTTTTTTTTTTTCTCTTTTTTGGTGGTGGGGTAGGAGTTAAACAGCTTCTCTCAGCCACCCCTGGATTCTGAGCCCTAAATTTAACTCCAAAGGAACCTGTCTGCCCTACTTCATGATTCCAACCCTCAGAGGGAAACCATTACCCGATTCTGAAAATCAGCTCTGACAAGGGAGCATCCAGACAGGTGTGTCCTCAATCACAGGTGCCGGGCTGCAGTACCAGAGCTGTCATCAGCTGACTGGGGAGAGGGTACAAGAAGGGGGACAAATGGACCTACTCCGTGGCCTAAATCTTGATGACCATTCCCCTGGGGGGCCTGGAGAGCTATTTGTACAGCCAGTCAGAATGGCCAGGGTGTGGTCACCGGTGTCTTATTCTAGCAGCCTTAATGCCTGGCATGGGTGCCCACAGGGATAGGGACAGCCTGGCATCTGATCCACAGTTGCACCACATTCAGACAAAGGAACTAACCAGCCGCCTGTCCTTCTACTCCAACCCGTAGCCCCCTCTCCTTGCTTCCTTCTCCTTTTTAAAACTTTTCTTAATTTATTAAATTCACAACGTTGTGCAATCGTCACCACTCTTTATTTCTAAAACTTTTTCATTACCCCAAATAGAAACACTATAACCATTAGTAGCAATAACACCCATTCCTCCCTCCCCCCAGGCCCTGGTAACTTCTAATCTTTTTGTTTCTATGTATTTGACTACTCTAGGTACCTCATACAAGTGGAATGTTATAATATTTGTTCTTTTCTGCTTGGTTTATTTCATTTAGCAGAATGTCTTCGAGGTACATCCACGTCATAGCATGTGTCTGAATTTCCTTCCTTTTCCTTATGGCCAAACAATATTTCACTGCATGTATATACTACATTTTGTTTATCCATTCATCTGTGGATGGATACTTGGTTACTTCTACCTTTTGGCTATTGAAAAGTCTCTGCTTTCAATTCCTTTGAGTATATACCTGAAAGTTGAATTGCTAGATCATGTGGTTAATCATTTAGATTTTTGAGAAACCGCCAAACTGTTTTCCACAGTGGCTGCACCATTTACTTCCCACCAGCAGCGCATAAGAATCCCATCTTCTCCACATCCTCGCCAATCCTTGGGCTGTACCCAAGCCCGGGAAATGGCCTTTCCCTCGTACCCTAGAATAACCTGCAAGCTGTTGGACTGACTGAGGGGCTCAGGAGTAACAGCAAAGGACTACAGCCAGAGCAGCAGCTAGAAGAGGTTTCCCCTTGGTTCCAATTTAGTAAAATTCTAACCAAAAACCATGAGGGCTGCAAGGCTGCTTATGAAAATCAAAGCACCTAAAAATGCAGGGTCCAGATAGATGTGCCCTCTGTCACAGGGCACCACAGCAGCAGAGCATTGATCAGATAACTGGGGAGGGACACTAGGGGGCTCCAAAGTAGGGTGCACTCAACATTGAAGTGCTCAATATGACCTACTGCAGTTCAGGAAGAACATATTAGAACATCTATTCATGGTTTGTTTTTTTTTATATCATCCTTTTAAGTGTGTATGTGTGTGTCTTATAGGTCCATTAGCACAGCAGTTTGTGTATATAATTTATAAACAAGTATACATATATTAGGGTACATGCTAATCTATTAGTGAGATATACGTGATAAAAAAGTTTGGAGACTCCCAACTTGGACCAACCTCTCCCTTTGTTGCCATTTTTCCCTTCTGATTTTTATATAGTATACCGATGGTCATGATAATGATAACGGGGGAACAAACTCACAAAACCCACCACTGCAAACCCCTCAGAGCCTGACACTTCTCTATGCCAACTCATCTTTCAGGGGCTCCTACACCAGAAGGAAATGAGAGACAGCTGTCTTTAGACAGTGGAGCCGTGGGGGAGGGAGAATAGAAGCATTTTTTTTTCCCTCCCTGAGGCACTTACTCCATTCCAGTTCAAAGCCCAAAACAGAGAGGTTTATAGCCTAGAAGTTAAGAACTCAGCTTTTGAATCAGAGAGATTTGTGGGTAAGTGGTGGTATCACCATTAACTTCTGTGCAAATTAGTTAATCCCTCTTGACCTTGATTTTCTCATCATGATGATACTAGCACCTACCTCATAAGGTGGCTGTGGGGAGTAAATGAGGCCATCAACATGAAGCACTAGGGCAATGCCTGCTTGGCGTATATGAGGTCTTTTAATAACACAGGTAGGATGTTATTACATGAGGATGCACAAGACACAAGAAGAGAACTCTGCATGAGGCTGGGGAGCTAGGACAGAGTCCGGGGCAGGAGCGGAGGGAGGCACTGGGGGTGTGTGTGTGTGTGTGCGCGTGCACGCACATTTCATACAGCTGTAAGAAACCACCCCATGCATTCCACAAATATGCACTGAGCAATCACTAGTGTCAGGCACTTTGAGGGATGCAGGCACAAGCCAAGCAGAGTCCACTCTCTGAGCTCATTTCTGGGTGCCACACTGTGACCCACAAGCCCACAGGGGCACCAGAAAGAGACAGCAAGGTACAAGGACATCTGGAATCAGTAGCCACGGTGTGAAAGTGAAGTTGGGAGCCTAAGCTTAGAGAGGACCTGACTGAGATCCAGGGACGCTAACAAAAGGTACCAATCTCCTACAGTAACACACACCACTCAGAATCCAAGAGGAGTCTTTGTTTCAATTTCCCTAAATTTTCCATTCAGAGATTTTTTTTTTTTTAACCTGTTCTCTTTTCCAGAGTAAACTCTGCAGAAGGACTTTGTCATCGCAGATACTGGAGCAGAAACTCCACTCCCTGCTTTATTCCTTCAGCCAGCCCCACCCTTGTCGGGCCAAGAGGGTTTTATTGCTCTTGTGTGGCTGGAGCTTCTGTCTGCACAGGATTGGGGGCTCACTGCTCTGCCTCAGCCACTTCGACTGGGCTTTCCCACCGTGGGAAAAGCTGCCCCAACTTACAGCTTCACAAAGTGCTGAAATGGCTTCCTGGTTCATCTACAATAGACTGCATAGGAAATTATTTCTCAGGGACAGGAAGCCCAGCATCAGAGCCTCCTAGAAAGGCCACCAACAAGAACATGGCCCCTGAAACCCTCCCAGTCAGCACAAAACCACTTATTCCAACAGAAACATGGAAATCATTCCAGGACACGCATGCTCTGGATGTCCTATTTTTTAAATTCCTTACCTTGTTGTTTTTGTTTTTTTTTTTTAATTGGCTGTGAAAGTTCAGCTCAACAGCTTACCAGGTACATTATTAACTGGCAAACACTTCTTTGACTTTGCTAGTTAAAGTTTAGAAAAGAACATTCCCATTAACATATAATTTCTCCAGCAACTCCGCGAACAACCCAGAGAGCATTTCATCAGGGCAAACCTCAACTAGCAACTTCCTCCTCTCCCCCACTCAGAGTATTCAAACTGGTTTCTGTTCTTCTGGAGCAGACAGGTAAGCAAAATTCAAATAGACCCTCAGCTGGGTATCTGAGATCTGGGCAGTGCTGATCAAGGACAAATGCTAAATACACTCTAAACGTACAGCTCTCCACCAGGCTGGGGAAGGAGAAGGGAGAAAGCAGCTCTGCCTGATGCCATAAGATCCTCCATTCCTGAGGTCCACCCACAAGTCACCTCCTGCCAGGGAGCCCAAGGGGCCCATGGGACCCTGAATCCAGAAAAGTACAGCCCACCGGCTGTCACTTCTTCCTCACCTCCCTCCACTCATTTCTCTTCTCCAGTGCAAAAGTGCTCTGCAAACCAGGTTCCTCTGGGGTGACAGGCCAGGAACCCAGAACGAGCCCCAGATAAGCACTTGTCTTACATCCTCCAGGTGCCAGGAGTGATTTAGGCACCTCCATTAGATACACAGACTTCCCAGCTGGCTGCCTCAATCCTCTCCTCAGCAGCCAACCTCAGCTTCGGACTCTGGACCCTTCATTAAACCTGTAAGAGGGGCTCATCCAAATATGAGGAAGTTGGTCCTGGTCTAACCAACCTCCCACTTCCCTTGGGGTGAAATGGGTCTCAAGGCATCTCCCTCAAGGAAGGAGAGGGAGGGAGGGAGACAGAGAGACAGAGACAAAGGGAAAGAGAGAGGATGAACAGACAGAACCCCACTCAGCCCACACCAAAACCAAAAGTCCAGCTGGGATCTGGTGCAGGCAGTGGGACAGAGGGCTACTAGGAAGTCACAGGAAGTCACCTGGATGGCAAGAGGACAGGCTGCCAAAGTACTGAGTGGTTTGGAAAACCCACCTTGAGGTGAGGAGACCCCAGGCACCCCTAATGCTCACCCTAGAGAGACCTGCCTCCCTCTCTTCCCAGCAACCAAAAGGGGAACTGCTCGCAGACTCAGATCTAGACACAAAGGCCCCACCAGACCCGATGGGCCACACAGAAAAGGCCATTTTCCAGTGTCATTCCTGCCCAACTCTCAGGCAAGCCAGTGCCTAGATTAGGCCCCCTGCCTGCCACTGCCTATGGACTGAAGACCTTCTAGGGCAAGGCTCCCCCCACTGCCCTCTGTTCTCCAGGTCCCTCCGGATGCTGCTGTCCAACTCTGCTTCTGCCCGGCCATCTGGGGTGGTTCGTCCTATGCTGTGTCAGATTAGTGCAACACACTGCCAGAACTGCTGCACGCCCAGCCGTCTCCTCTGAAGGGCAGCTTTGTGTTTCTTGCTTGCAAAGGAAGAAAACTGTTTTTGCAGCTGAACAATAATGTGGAGCTTTCGGTAGAGCCACAGAGGCCAAAAGCCACTCAGCATGCCACCCCCTCACCATCAAGAATGCCTGCATGCAGGAGGCTGGCACAATCAACCTATAACCTCAGCAAGGCTCACAGGGACTTCCAATCCCCTGCTTGCCACCCTACACCACTGAAGAGTTCTCAGGAAACTGCTAGTGCCTGGCAGCCTTTGGAAATGGACTTATGCTTTCTCTAGTATACCGCCCATACCCACCCACACCCACAAGTTCTTGATATCTAATCTGGATCCTTCCTACTTCAACTTAAGTCCATCTGGGGCTTCAGTAGGAAAGCAGACTCCCTGATGCCCTTCTTGGCAAGCTCTAACTTACCATGAAGCAGAAGGCTGACCTCATAAGTCACAACAACAACAAAAACTGTAGAGGTTTGGGGGGGTGGTGGAAGGAGGTAGGAGAAGACTCTGGCTCTTTAAATGCAGCTGATGGCCTGGAGATACTGCATTCCCTCATCTCCTCCCCCTCCCCGCTACATGTCAATCACGTCTATCACCTGACTTCAGAGTACACTGAGCTGGAAGGAGACCAGTATGCCACTTGACAGATTTAGGGCTAAAGGGTCTCAACAGGCTGATTCTCTGGACCCAATACAGCCATATGAAATCTGACAGGGATAAGCTTAAAAATGTAAATTTGAGTCCAAAATATCCCAGCAGTAATAGTACAAGAGGGGAGAGAGACGCTGAACAGCAGCATTTGACATAACATGACTACACATTAATAGGGAACCTATTTTGATTTTAGGTTACATTAGTACAAGTATAATGTCAACAAAAACAGAGATGGTGATTCTACTCTCTTCTAAGCTGGCCAGACACCACCTAGCATACAGTGCTCAGTCCTGCATATCACAGTATAATAGGCATGCATTGTTTACATACTTTTCTTCAGTGACACTCCCCACATTGTCAGGTTGCAGCTGTCGGCTACCCAAGGGGTACTCATCCAAGGGGGAGCCCAGAATCCAATTAGGGTCAATCAAAATCTTCCCTAAGAAGTGATATACAGAGCCTAGGAGAGTAAGCACCTCTCTTCCTTGGCAAAAGTGTTAATAGAATTGAAAGATGGAGAAAAAGCAAAGCCCTCAAAGTCCCTGTGACCTTTGGGGTCCAACAGTGCAAAGGCCAGATCAGATCAACCCTTGGAGTTTCCAGTTACTAGAACTGATACATTTCCTTTTCTGTTTAAGCTACTTTGAGCTGGGTTTCTGTCACTTCCAACCTGAAGTACAGATTAATACACACTTTAAGAGGATTACCAATAAAGTACAGTATGTCCAGAGATTTACCAAAGACAGTGAATAAATGAAAAACCATGTTTCATGAGCAAACAAGGATGATTTAACTCAGAAAAGGGCACATTTATGGCCACATGGGAGCCTCTCTGAATAGTTAAGAAGGAAACTTGTTCTATGTGGGGCCAGAGAGCAGACCCATGACATGGGGGGAAGTTACAGAACGTGCAATTTCTGGAAAGTCTGAAGAGTACAACAAAACTGATAAACCTGAATCCATCCCCTATTGTATTCATTCTAACTCACTGGATTAAAGTGATTCCCTTTATCATTCCAAAGTACTTCCTTATTATGACAAACTGCAACTTCTATAAACCTCAGCTTCCAATCTACACAATGGAGATAAAAATCTCTCCCAAACAAGCTTTAGAGAGTTATTTCAGGGAACAAAAGAGAAAATGTAAATGGAGAGTGAATGATGTCCTAGGACACATCAATGACTCTTCCAAGATTTTATCTGAAGGAAACGACCAGAGATGTTCATAAAGGCAAGGAAGGGGGGTGTTTATAACAGCATCATGCATAATAATGAAAAAAAAAAAACTGGAAACTATTGTCCAAGATTTGAGGATCACTCGTAAAAAACTAGATCCTATAGAAGAACAATTAATGATGAGAGAAAGGTCTACAAAAGATCAGTGAAAGATACAAGAATCAATACCACATGTACAACACAATCCCAAGTTTACAAAAGTTTATGATACATTTGCAAAGAAAAAGATAGAAAAAATGTTAACAATGACTACCCTTGAAAGATTATAAATATTTTTTTTTCCTTTGGGCTTTTCTCTATTTTCCCAGTTATACAACAAATACATATTCTTGTTAAAATCAGGAATAAGTTATATATACTATCAATGCTATAAAGTGTTTTACCAATTGTAAGAGCTATGGAAACAAAGCAATGTGGCCCTTGAACAGGTCTCCCTTCCACATTTGTCTTTTTAGCTCTCAACACAGCAATTAGTTGATTATAGCATGTCTAATTTTTTAAATAGAAACAGATGAAGACAGTAAGGAAAATGCTGGATTCTTACAAAAAAAAAAAAAACAAACTCAAAATCCTATGTGTCTCCTAGGCAAGTAAATTTTCTTCCCAATAAAATGAGGAGTGTAATAGTATTGCTTTGTATGAATGTAGATTTAAACATTCATTAAGAACCTCCAAATGCCAGCCTGTTTCATAATTTTCTTTTCTCTACTAAGGTGCAGGGAACACTTTCCATATCATTAGTTAATATTTTACAGCACTGTTTTAAATGGATGCATAGTAATTCACTGTATGATTATTATCGCCAATGAGTAGTAGGAGTTTTTGTTTGATTTGATTTCTGATATAGAAATAGTTAATCTCCTTAGCAACCCTTTGAGCTTAGGTGTTCCAAGTGTAGGACTATAGAATATAATCAATAAACGTAAGCTGTTGTTACTGTCATACTCACGATTACTATTACTACCCAGGTTCCAGTGAGATATCCAAGTTCAATCCAATATTTTAGGTTTTTGAAAATGTTTCTCTGGAAGCCAGGAAAAATGCAGATAGAGGAATATTTTTAAATCTGGCCTCCTTGTTTTCCAAACACCCCCAAGCACTGTGATGAATGGACATTAACATACCAATACACATGTGCTGTTACTGAGCAACTAATTTTCATAAATGCCTGAAAAATTAGAAACCTTCTGGCCAGTAGCCATACACCTTGCTGTAATAAAACAAACGGTTTCCCAAAGAGGCATAGACCCCAAGGCCTCTAGCAAATCCAGGGACCTCGATGGGTCTGTGGGACAAAAGTGGACTGTGGACTAGCAGTGAAAAGAGAGAGGTTCCGCTCTGAATGGAAGCAGAACAGAAGGTTCTCACCTACAGCCTGTGTGCTGGACTAATGGGCACATCTGTCCTGGAACTTACACTGAGCACCTTATGCCAGGCCCTGTGCCTTGTCGTGCTTTCAACAAACTCATGTTTCCTCCACCCAACGATCCCGTGGTGTTAATATTCCCCAGTCCCATCCCTCAAGATAAGGACTTGAGGCTCAGTGAAGTTAAGTGACTTCTTGGAGTCTCACAGCCAGTAAAGGGTATGGCTGGGGCTGCAGCCCACTCTGTTTGCCTGCAAAGTCCAAGACTTCCCATGTTGGTGCTCTGCCCTCCAGTTACTCAACCAGGGTCTTCCTCCCCAGCCACTGTGAGTTATCAAACAGGCAAGGCCTTGCTCCTCTGCGTAAGTCCCCACAAGGGCTGGGCCACTGAGGCCCAGGGAGGCAGGCGTGCATGCAGCCCCTGCCTGAGGGGGGTGGGCTGGCCCACAAGCAGACAGAGTGAGGCATACTGACTGAAAGACTCCAAGAAGTTACCTCCCCTCACTGAGCCAGAGGTCCTGTACCTCTGAGATTGGGTCTTGTCCCTAAGGCACTTAAAAAGAGACCTGAGGCCGCAGCTATACCAGGGGCTGTTTGGCTCAAGCCCCAAGGTTCAAAGGAAAGCCACTGGAGTTTCTCTGGATGTGTGGTCTTCTGAAGTGAGTGAGATTTTGTCCCCACCACCTGAGCCTTCAGAAACAAGCCCTGGAAATAAGCTGTCAAACCTTGGGCAACTGGTAAAGATCTGAGCCCAGCCAAAGCCTCTCTGAACTTCTGATTTCAATTGACCCACAGAGGAAGCAAAGGTGCTCTTCTGTGGCTTGCTCTGTTTGAAACATTTTCCCTGTTCCATTTCTAATGTCCTCCCTATCCCCCTCTTCTCCTCCAGCCCCTTCTCCTAGCTAAGGGGCAGAAACCAGGCTGGAAAGACTGGCTGATCCAGGGAGAGGAGCCAGCATGGTGTGGGGCCGGAGCACTGAGAAGCACAGAGATTTACAGGAATGTGCTGTGCAGCTCACAGGAATTCCCCCAACCTCTGAAATGTCCCATTGTTTAACTCATCTCTAAATTAAGGGGGTTGGACTAGGTGCTTCTAAAACCCCACCCCTCCAGTAAAGCTCTGTCCTGGAATTTCCTCTATAAGATCTCATCTGTAGTGAGAAGCGATGTTTTCACTCTAGTGGAACAAACAGGCTATGGAGTAAATTGTTTTCTTAGAGCAGCTCAGATGTTTTTTCTGTCCTTTTTTTTTCTTTTTCTCTCACATGACATTTACCTTCAAAGCCAGACCCAAGCAGGGGATCGTGTCTGTTTTGCTCACTACCATAAGCCTAGCTTAAGTGCAAAGGTAGACACTCAATAAATAATTGTTAAATGAATGCTTGCATGCACACATGCATGCCAACCATTCTTTAATGTAACCCTTCTTTAAATGTGGTCACACACATGCCCTGGTCTAGCACACACAGCTGTTTTCCTCACTGTCAGGACCATCATATATCCAAGTCAAAGTAGAGCTGACACACCCAGTCCACCTCAGCCAGGACATCCCTACCCCTCCTACCATCATTCTCACAGACAGGTAAACATTCTAGAGATGTGAGGCAACTCTCCCTCTCTCCTTCCATCACTCCACAATTTATGCCATGGGCAGATGAAGTGCCCTAGGACTGTTTCCCTCATATCAGTTCTCTGCTCAAAAGCCTTCAATAACATACAGAAAGCCAACAGACACATGAAAAGATGCTCAACATCACTCATAATCAGGGAAATGCAAATCAAAACCACAATGAGATAACCTCCCATCTATCATAATGGCTAGTATAAAAAAAGACAAGAATCAACAAGGATGTGGAGAAAAGGGAGTCCTTGTGCACTTACTTGGTAGAAACTGTAAATTAGTACAACTATTATGGAAAACAATATGGAGGATCCTCAAAAAATTAAAAATAGAACTACCATATGATCCACCAATTGCACTTTTGGGTATTTATCCAAAGAAAGCAAAAACACTAACTCAGAAAGATATATGCACCCCTATGTTCACTGTAGCATCATTTACACCAGTCAATATATGGAAGCAACATGAGTATTGATTGATGAATAAATTGTGGTGTGTGCGTGCACACACACACACACACACACACACACACACACAATGGAATATCATTCAGCCATAAAAAAGAATGAAATTTTCCCATTTGCAATAACATGGATGGACCCTGAAGACATTATGCTAACTGAAGTAAGTCAAAGAGAAAAACAAACACTGTATGAGCTCACCTACATATGGAATCTAAAAACAACAACAACAACTAGGCTTATAGGTACAGAGAACAGATTGATGGTTACCAGAGGCAGGGGGATGGGGAGGAAGGGGGTAGATGACACAGGTGAAGGGAGTCAAAAGCTACAAACTTCCATTTATAAAATAAATAAAATACATCCTGGGGATGTAATGCACAGCATGGCACCTATATTTAATAATACTGTATTGAGGGGGCACCTGGGTGGCTCAGTCAGTTAAGCATCAGACTCTTGGTTTTGGCTCAGGTCATGATCTCATGGTTTGTGGGATCGAGCCCTGACTTGGGCTCTGTGCTAGCGGCATGAAGCCTGCTTGGGATTCTCTTTCTCCCTCTCTCTCTACCTCTTCCCTGCACGTGCCCTCTCTCTCTCTCTCAAAACAAATATAAACATTAAAAAAATTAATGTATTGCATATTTGAAAGTTGCTAAGAGAATGGATCTTAAAAGTTCTCATCAAAGAAAAAAATCTGTTACTATGTGTGGTGATGGACATAACTAGACTTACTGTGGTAATCATTTCATAATATCTACAAATATCAAGTAATCGTGTTGTGTACCTGAAACTAATATAATGTTGTATACCAAATGATCTGTCTATCTTTTAAAGTTTATTTATTTTTGAGAGAGCACAAGCAGGGGAGGATCGGGGGGGAGGGGACAGAGGACCTGAAGGTGCCGAAAGCAGAGAGCCCAACGCAGGGCTTGAACTCATGAACCAACTCACCAACCATGAGATCATGACCTGAGCCAAAGTCAGACACATAACCAACTGAGCTGCCCAGGCGTCCCAGTTATATCTCAATTTTTAAAAAGCCTTAGTAGCTCCCCATTACTTAGAGAATCATGCAAAACTCCTTAGCCCCGTGCCCAAGACCTCCCAACCAAGCTCCCACTCCTCACCTCCAAGAAACCCCCACTTCAGCCCAGACCTGCCATCCTTGCACTGTTGCTCACACCCCACCCTCCTCTTCTCCCAGCACACCTCCGTCCTGCTGGCTGCTCCCCTTCAGACTTCCTCTGCCTCTTATTTCCTGTATCCCTAATTATCCCTCACCACCTCCTGTTTTATCTCCCCAAGCAAGAATGAGTGACTTCAACCAGATGACTAACTAGACAAGGAGAGTGTCATCCTGGCCTCTTCTCTGTGTCCCCCAGTACCCAGCATATGCTGCATGCACAGCATAAATACTGACCAGTTAACTCTCATCCTGCCCAACCCAGACATGCCCACTTCTTGCCCACCACCAATGCCAAACCACACAGCAACAGTGCCAAACTGCCCAGTGCCAAACCCTGCTCTAAAACCATCAGCGGCTAGTGAAAAGCAAAGTTTGAGGGTAGACAGACCTGGGATCAACTCCTGGCTCTACCAATTCCTAGCTGGGCAACCTAAGCAAGTTACTCAACCTCCGAGCCTTGGTAGCCTTGCCTACAAAACGATGTAGAGTCTTTCCTTCATCTTCAGACTGCAGTGAGGATGGAACAAGATAGTATAAGGTGCTAGCACGCAGTAGATGTAAGGCAAAGCTTCCCCCGCCCCTTTGCCACCCCAA